TTGCATTCAATTGCGCTCATTTAACTCCGGGAAAAATTGGAAAAAATATTCTCTAGCAGTTCTAATTACACGAGCGCCGATTAAAGAATCATCTGCAGTTATTCCGATTGGAGTAATGAATTAAACATGAGATGAAAGTGGAGTTGACCTGAAATAAAGAGTTTACTGATAAATGGTTGATACCGTGACTCCTCAGGTAGGAATTGACGATAGAAACAGGACTCAAGTCCTGGAGCAAGGCCTTGAAATGCTCAACCAGGCTTAGGCGGGCCAGAAAATACTGAAGAACGTTCACTCGGCGGAAAAATTCGATTTTGGCGAAAGTCGACTTTCCCCCCGAAAAAAGCCACTGGTTTTTTTTTCAATAGTTCATTATTTTGTTGGGAGATATAAAAATTTTCCTGATCGAGAGGGAGGTAACGCCAGCCTTAAGACGTAAATTTCATTTTCAATTTCATTTAAAAAATACGAAAAAATTGAGATATTTCTCCCAAAAATTTATTTTCCATAGGAAAAACTTTAGTTGTTAATGAATGTCTTCATTTGTCATTAAATTCCCTTCATTTTGAACTCAATTAATGATTGATTTTAGGAAAAAAATCATGAAAAACGTTTATATATAAACAATTTTCCCTTGAATCGATGCATTCTCCTATAACGAATGGGTTTATCAAAAAAGACAAAAAAACCATTTCCAAAGAGAATTAAATTCCCTCCAAAAAATGTCCTCTGCCATTTTCTCCTAAATCGACTCATTACCGCCTTAATTTAAATCCCAAATCAAACTCGTCTCATTAAAAAATAATTTCAGTTTTGAAATCTTGAGAGAATTTCGATAAACCGGAAAGAAAATCCAACGAAAAATATACAAAATAACCGACAATATCGGACGGATCGACTGCCCGTGGTAAACAGAAACAGCTCTCAGCATGCTATCCTCTCGTCAATTCTCAATTATACTATTATTTATATTTTTTTAAACGTCGTCGATGACGGGCTCACCCACCTCTGGTGCTTATCGAGCCCGTGTTACCCACATGAAGCGATATACACCAACACAAATATGGAAAGAATAAGTGTACAGTTGGCTGCTTGCACGATCATGTTAACCCCGCGTATCGGCAGTGCTGTTTAGTGGTACCAACATCCCACCCTCTATTACTTTGTTGTATACCTGACAAACTCAAACGTCAGAGATAACGATCGATTGGCCTACGGGATACTGGGGCTGTCTCGGTACATTGTTGAATCGTTTTATTGCAACGATACTATTTTTTACTCATTCATTGGATAATTCCATACTATTGTTGTCTAAAATCCGTTAAATTTTTTTTTAATTACATGATTTTTTGGAAATTAATTGATTATAAAGGAAGTGACGTCATTCTTCCCAATTATTCCCATAAACTGAGTCGTTATTAACAAAATAATCCGTCAGTTAATAATTTTTTATTCAATTAAATTCATTGAATAATTAAAGTTGATGAATAAGTCGATGGAAATTTAATGGAGAAGCGATTTATTTGCAGATGGAAGAATTAATTGTTAATTCATGATTTTCAAGTGGAAATTAAAAATTTTTAATGAAAAAAATATTTTAAAAAATTAAAAAGTGCTCATTGATTCAACAATTCTACACTTTTTTTCTCTAAAATCCGTGGATTTTTTCGTAATTACATGATTCTTTTGCAATTAATTAATTAAAGAGGAAGTGAACTAATTCTTCCCAATTATTCCCCTAAACTGACTCGTTATTAACAAAATAATCCGTTAGTTAATAATTTTTTATTCAATTAAATTGATTGAATAATTAAAGTTGATGAATAAGTCGATGGAAATTTAATGGAGAAGCGATTTATTTGCAGATGGAAGAATTAATTGTTAATTCATGATTTTCAAGTGGAAATTAAAAATTTTTAATGAAAAAAATATTTTAAAAAATTAAAAAGTGCTCATTCAACAATTCTACACTTTTATTCTCTAAAATCCGTGGATTTTTTCGTAATTACATGATTCTTTTGCAATTAATTAATTAAAGAGGAAGTGATGTAATTCTTCCCAATTATTCCCCTAAACTGAGTCGTTATTAACAAAATAAACCGTCAGTTAATAATTTTTTATTCAATTAAATTGATTGAATAATGGAAGTTGATGAATAACTCGATGGAAATTTAATGGAGAAGTGATTTATTTGCAGATGGAAGAATTAATTATTAATTCATGATTTTCAAGTGGAAATTAAAAATTTTTAATGAAAAAAATATTTTAAAAAATTAAAAAGTGCTCATTCAACAATTCTACACTTTTATTCTCTAAAATCCGTGGATTTTTTCGTAATTACATGATTCTTTTGCAATTAATTAATTAAAGAGGAAGTGAACTAATTCTTCCCAATTATTCCCCTAAAATTACTCGCTATTAACTAAATAATCCACTAGTTAACAATTTTTTATTCAACTAAATTGATTCAATAATTGAAGTTGATGAATAAGTCGATGGAAATTTAATGGAGAAGCGATTTATTTGCAGATGGAAGAATTAATTGTTAACTCATGATTTTCAAGTGGAAATTAAAAATTTTTAAGGAAAAAATTATTTTAAAAAATTAAAAAGTGCTCATTCATTCGACAATTCTACACTTTTATTCTCTAAAATCCGTGGATTTTTTCATAATTACATGATTCTTTTGCAATTAATTAATTAAAGAGGAAGTGAACTAATTCTTCCCAATTATTCCCCTAAACTGACTCGTTATTAACAAAATAATCCGTTAGTTAATAATTTTTTATTCAATTAAATTGATTGAATAATTAAAGTTGATGAATAAGTCGATGGAAATTTAATGGAGAAGCGATTTATTTGCAGATGGAAGAATTAATTGTTAATTCATGATTTTCAAGTGGAAATTAAAAATTTTTAAGGAAAAAATTATTTTAAAAAATCAAAAAGTGCTCATTCATTCGACAATTCTACACTTTTATCCTCTAAAATCCGTGGATTTTTTCATAATTACATGATTCTTTGGGAATTAATTTATTAACCAGGAAGTGGACTCATTATTAACAAAATAATCCACTAGTTAATAATTTTTTCATTCAATTAAATTGCTTCAATAATCAAAACCGACGAATAAACCAACAAAAATTGAACGCAAAGAATCAATAGTCAAATGAAGGAACCAATTCTGTAGTGAATTGGTAAACTAGGATAAGTGCATTTCAACTGAGGACAGTTATCAAGCGATATCTCGTAAATAAAAACAGATATCGAAATTTTTGTCAGAAACTTTTTTGTAGCCCACATCTCCCTCTACAAAAAAGATTCTAATAAAAATTTCGATATCTGTTTTTATTTACGAGATATCGCTTGATAATTGTCCTCAGTTGAAATGCACTTATCCTAGTTTACCAATTCGCTACAGAATTATCACCCGATTTTCCTCTAGCAATGTAAAATGTTTAACAAAAAAATTATAAAACAATTAGATAATTATCCATACGGCCTTTACGACCACCTGACCCTCACCTAAAAACCCAAAAAAATCTCAAATCATCATTTCCACGATAGAAACTTTTTTTCTTTTCCTCAAATTATTCATGAAGGTTGGAGGTATTTCCCCCCGACTTTCATGATACAGCATATTTAGTAGAAATACCGAATGTTATTTTTATATTCTGATTTAATCCCACTGATGTTTTGATTGCTATTGATCACAGAACGTGTTTTGTCACTCGTGCGTGATGCCACAGCCGTGTTTGGTGTGTTTGTATCGGTGAGAGAGAGAGAGAGCGAGAGAGCGAGAGGGGTGGGGAGAGGGGAATTGTGAGCGGGCGCGAGCCAGTGACTTTTATAATGTTGGCACGACAGTGAATATAGACGGTTGGTCTTAATGAATCTTTATGGGATGGTGTCGTGAACTTGTATTCCCCTACGGTGACTGACTGAACTCACGACCGGCGATTGTAACAGCGGCGTGAACTCGTTTTGAATTATTTATATTTCGATGTGAATAATCACTGCAATTGTCAATCATTCAATTACTGTAATTATGGGGGGAGTGATGGTGGAGATGTTTTTGGGGATTTTGCGGGGGGGGGGGGATTTTTTAGGAGATAATTGTGGGATTATATTTACATTTTGAATTTAAGGAATAATTAAACTAAAATTTACAGTTTCTACCGATTTTTTTGTCAATTTTGAATTTTTCTGGGTGAAATTCCGTGGAATTTCAATGGAATTGACGTCACTTGAGAATTTCCAACTGCTGGAAATTCACGCCGACAATTTTTAACAGTTTAATATTTTTGAGGTAATCCTATGAAAATTCCCCAGGGCTTTCAATGAATATTTAATGAAATTCCAAATTTTCGTGCAGCAGGAAGATAAGAGTTTCCAAACTTCCTCGAATTTTCAATAAATAAAAAATTGAAGAATATATTCATGTACAGAATAAATATATTTTTAATTTTATAAACCAGAATTTTCGTGAAATACTTCCCCTGAAATTTGAAATTTCTTAATTTTCCATTAAATTATGATTTTTTTATAATCAAATTAATTGAAATTTCAATGAAGCTGTCATGTCTCAACCGAAATTCCCAAAAAACCCCGGCAATTTCCCTCAAAAATTGTCGACACCGCATAATCCCCCAAAAAATTCCCCCGCCTGACCCATTGACCCTATTTTTCCCCCGATAAATTCGCCGTTCCAGCCGCTCATTAAAAAAAATTCAAGGTCACGCGATGAGCTGACGCCAGTGATACCCGAGTCATTAGCCTCCGGGTCCTCGGCTCATGTTGACGCGCCTATCCCGTTAAAAAATTTCGTTAGTCCAAGGTCCCCAAATGTCAAGCACTCCGGGGTGTGTCTCAATTGTCTCCGGTTAAACATGCTTGCGTGTCCATTCAACTCCGATGTATCATGTCATCACCCCCCCCCCCCCCCCCCNCCAAAGTCCCCACGATTGATTGTATTTTGTGTTATGGAATATCAAACTTACCGGGATCTGATGAGTCTAGACTGGTGGGTGCTTGTTGGCTGAGTGGTCCTGGGGTACCGCCGCTTCCTGGGCTCCTGGCGTCGTCATTTGCTCCCGCACCGGGGTACGACAGTGAGGAGGATGGTGGCCTCTGTAAAAAAGAAGATAAATCGAGAAATGAATAAGAGTGCATTTAAACATTTCTTGAATAACAATTTGGCCCCTAGTTTGAGGATATTTTACGATGATTTTATTGTTTAAACTTTAGGGGTCTGAATTGGAATCTCAATATTGAACCGTTGGAAAAGCTTTGAAAATTGAAAAAAATATAGTTTACTTTTGGAGGACGATTGATTGAATATTTTTAAATCTGAAATTTTTTAAAATTAGAAGCGTTTATTATAAATAATTTATGAACAATCAATTTTTTATTAAAATAATTTTTTCGGAATCTTAACACATTTATTCATATTCTGAATTTTAGGAGAAATCGATTTCATGTCTAAAAAAATTAATTTCGGAAAGTTTGAACAATTTCAATTATTTATTCATAAACAACGAATGTTTAAAAAATAATAATTCTGTGTAAAATGTCACTTGAATGACGCAGAAAACATTTTCAAAATATTAAAAAATTGAAATTTTTCAAAATTATGAGCACTGTCTATAAATAATATATAAGCAATTAATTTTCCACCATGAAAACCGTTTTTTCGAAATAATAACAAATTTATTCATATTCAGATTTTACTAAAAATCGATCTCATGCCTAAAAAATGAATTATCTAAAGTTTGAACAATTTCAATTATTTATTTATAAACAACGAATGTTAAAAAAATCACGATTTTTTTTTCAAAATCTTATCACGCAAGTTAATCGAAAATTTGATAATTGAAAATATAATATAATTTATGAAATGTAAAAACCCAGTTCCAACTGTCAATTTTTAGTGAATAAAAAGTAACCTAATAGTCCCAGCATACAGTAAAACTAAACAATTGTAATGGATACGTCTCACGTTGACGGACAATAGCTAACCTAATTTGATAATTTGAAAAAATAATTTGAAAATTTGATAATTGAAAATATAATATAATTTATGAAATGTAAAAACCCAGTTCCAACTGTCAATTTTTAGTGAATAAAAAGTAACCTAATAGTCCCAGCATACAGTAAAACTAAACAATTGTAATGGATACGTCTCACGTTGACTGACAATAGCTAACCCCGATGATTCGTGAAACAAGAAATATCACCTCACCAACAATGTAACACGGAGTAAGAAGTATTAACATGAAGATCCACAGGGGGAAGAAGGGAATACGAGTGTACGTGGACAACAATGACTGACAGCAACTCCCACACGCTGTCAGTGTTTTCATCTTGGTACTTGTTGGGAGCGTATTGTTCTTGGTGGTGCTTACACGTGTGTGGTTATTTGGTTAATGTGAAAATTGTTTGAACTTAACCTATTTATCCTTCAATCAAACATCAACACTTTGGAGTTAAAGGCTTTCTCAACCTTTGTTCTATTATTGTCATGAATAATCGATTGTTTTAGTCTTCATTTTTTAATCTTTCTCGACTATTTTCTGAAAACAAAAGAAAATAGAAAAAAAAGCTATTGAAATTAGTGAATTAATTTTTTTTTTCAATTTAAAAATGAAGGTGAAAAATTAAATCATTTTCACTGAACATTGAAACCTTGAAAAATTATGAACAATAATTATTTTAAAATAAAAAAAATTGACAACTTGATTTTTTGCGGAAAAAAATAACCTAAATTATAGAATTGTTCTTGAAATTTTGTTTTTAATCAAAAAATTAAAATCTCATGGGGAAAAATTACCAAACTTCTCAACTATTTTAGGAAAATAAAAGGTAATGCAGGAAAAACTATTGAAATTTGTAAATAAATTCTTCTGTTTCAATTGAGAAATAAAGATGAAAAATAAAATAATTTTCACTGAACATTGAAACATTTAAAAAATGATAAACAATTTGTCAATAATCATGTTAAAAAACACCAAAAAAATCGACATCTTGATTTTTTGTGAAAAAACTTAATATAAATTATAGAATTGTTTTTGAAATTTTTTTGTTAATTAAAAAATTGAAATTTCAAGGGGAAAAATTAACAAAGTTCTCCATTATTTTATGAAAATAAAAGGGAATGCATGAAAAACTATTGAAATTAGTGAATAATTTTTTTTTGTTTCAATTTAAAAAGAAGATAAATAAAATAATTTTCACTGAACACTGAAACCTCAATAAAATTATAAACAATTCTCCGGACAAATTTACTGATAAAAATTCCAAAAAGATGCGGGCAGTGATTTAATCTGATTCGATACATCCGGCAACGATAATATCCCCAGCATCGAGTGCAGAAGACGAATGACTTCACCAGAAAGTCAACTCTCCCAAAGACACTCGAGTTATAATCGTCCGAATAAAAAAGAGTTGTGAAAAGAATTGTGTGGTGGAGAGAGATGGGAGAAAAAAAGGGACGGAGAAGTGCGAATGTGTGAGCGTCGAGCCCAGTTGACGTGTCAACTAACCGTTTATCATTGCATCGACACAAGTCACGTAGCAGTGGGACCCCCTGGCCACTTAAAAAACGTTGATCCAGGGCGTTTAGTAGGAAGTGACGTCACGGGACGTACACTGTGTTCACATGGGTCGAGGTGTGGAATTGTTGTATTTTTGTGTAAATACTTTGTTCATCACGCACAATTATTATAATTTTTTGTTGAAAATCAGAAAATGAAAATTCAATGGGAGAATAAATTATTTGAGGGAAAATAAATAGAGATGAATTAATAAATGAATAAAATGAATTCAATTTGAATTTTTAACTCTTCGAAATTTCACTTAATTTAAATATTTGTCAACAATCATTTTTAAAAACACGAGAATAATTTTCGAATTAATTATTCAACTTTTTTCATTCACTCAAACCCAAAAGAAATTGACCACTTGATTTTTTTGTAAAAAAAAATAATTGTAGAATTATTGAAGGAATTTTGCCCTCAATTAAAAAATCAAAATTTCATGTGCAAAAATTAAAAAATATAGATAAACGAATAAATAAAATTCGCACAGTTCAAATATTTGTTGACCCCTTCGTTAAGAATTAATTAATTCTGTCCCTTCAACTCTAAAAAAATTAATGATCATTTCAAAAAACGTGGGAATTATTTTCAAATCGATTGTTAAAATTTTCTCATTCACTCAAATCCCAAAAAAATTGACAACTCGATCAATTTTTTTCAGTGAAAAAAAAAATTGAAAATTTGATGAAAAATGTAATTGTTGTCTTATTAAATTTCCCACTGATATATTAAGGGGAGTGAAACCGCGCAGACAAGGCGTGCGCCATGCGTCGACAACGGAAGACAATAAATTATCCGAGGAAGGTCCGATACACCCGTAAACATCATCGTTCGCCTACTCGCCCCGATTGGTTTCCGTGATGTTTATACACTGTATATACCCCATCCCTCCCTCCCCCCCGGGGCACTAAACATTCATTTCAATACATTGTGATTCATTATTGATTAATCTCAAAAGCAAAAGTGCATTAATTGATCGCCACTTAATGACACATAATTACGTAATTACTGATTGTGGACATTCAATAATGTTTGACTGGTTTACGGCTCTGAGATACGTAAATCTTGGGCTATTAATTCATTGGAGACCTCTCGAGATTGTAATTAATATGTTGATGCTTAGTAATATCAATCAAATATCAAAAATTCGTGGAATTAATTTTTCCAGTGAAAGTTTTTAGTTTAAAAAATAACGATTTCCATTTTTTTTCATGAAAATATTTTCTAGTTTTTTCCACATTAAAAATACATTTCTATGAAATTTATCTCAGAATTTTATATGGAAAAACTATGGAATTTTTTAATAGACAAAAAACAATAGGTTTTTTTTTCGTCTCACTAAAAACAATTATTTCAATATTTATTAGTTGCGAAACAATTTACAAAGTTTTAAAATAGAATGAATATATTTTCTAGTTTTCCCCAGATGAAAAATACATTTCCATAAATATTTTCTGAGAAAAATGTTTTGTAAATCATAAAAAAATAAATTTCACTTTTTTTTACGAAAGAAAAATCTCAGAATTCCATAAGGAAAAACAACGGGATTTTTTTAAATAAAAAAAATACAGAAAATGTTTTTTATCCATGAAAACCATTCTTTTAAATATTGATTTGTTACAAAAAAATTTAAAAATTCCGTTAATTGACAAAACAATGAATTTTTTTTTCGAAAAAAAAATCCCCTAAAAAATCTAAAGGAGTTGAAACACAAGTAGAGTCGTATAGTCTCGAATTTCTCCATTGGATATAATACGAAACGTGCCTGGGGTCTTCGGTACCATAAATTACGATTTATTGCTGAGGCAGCGCCTCTGACCGACGGATTATCTTACCGTTATGTCAGCGCCCGGTACCACAATTATATTTACATTTTCCAAGCAATGAAATTCACCCGACACAAAACACTGCACAGTAGCGCAGTGGAGCACTCCTCGGGTGAAATTCATGGACAATTTTATTCGCATTTATTCACCATAGGTTTTGATTTCACGCTCAAGGCTACACAGCGCCGTTAACCGCGATGTTTATATATTTATCTATTCATTTATGATGAGTGAGGCGACATCTCGAAGGAATTATCGACGACAGCAGTGAAACGAGTCGCGCCAAAACAAAGGGGAATTGAATTAAAATTATTTCTCGTTCTTTTACCGGTCGTTTTTGGGGGAAAGATGATACTCGGGGCTGAGGTGAGCACGTCCGGCTCAACGAGCAACACACCTGACCGCCGAGAGAATTCAAAACGATCGTATAAACGAAACAAATTTATGGCGGTCATAGGAAACCCGAAGATCGCATGCTGTTGTGGATTTAGTACTCGAGCCCTTGTGCGAGAAAAATTAGTATCTGAAGTTGAGACACTTTTGAGGCGTGTTTAGGGTCTCAAATTAAGACACTGAGGTGGCTTAATAAAATAAAAATAAGGGCGAAAGAATTTTTGTAACCAAAAATACTGGTGAAGAGTATTTTTCCTTAGAATAATATTCAGAGGTTTTACGCCCTTCTGATCTTGTAATGATACTGTGTTTCAAT